AATAAAAATCAAACAAGATTTTATATTAAGGATCGGAGGTAGTATTTGATATATACAGGTCCAAAAAAGTTAGTCGAAGGCATCGCCAGGTAAGATAGTTGGATGGGCTCTTTTTTTTTTTTTTTTTTTTACAGACAAAGGATGAACTTATCTTTTGTCCTTGATATCTGAGAAAACATTAGATTTTATTGTCACAAAATAAATTTACCTTATCTCTCCATATAACAATAATTCAAACACACTCTATTTCTCATAATCTGTTTGAGCTGTTTATGCTAAAATATTTGCTGAAGTTATTGAGGATATTATGAGTTAAGAACCTACAACTCGATTGACACTCCCAAGTTGTTATGGAGAAATGAATTGGTGTGTGGGTCCACTCCCTTATCAGGGGAAGGCGGGTTTCTATAATAATGTGCTAGGGTCAACTCTGATGAGTAGTATACACTCACACCCATTAGATCAAATAACTATGTGTCTATTTAAAATAATTTATAAATGACTTTTTAATTATGATTTATATAATGCAAAATAAGTAAGTATGTGAGAATATTTTAGTTTCAATTTATATGAAACGTGATTATAAGTGATTTTAAAAATAATACTAAACGGTGCCTATATTAGATCTGCCGAATCCAGCTAGCTTTAACAAATCAAGTTAATACCCTGACCTTCCTTTATAATCGGCCTCATCTTTACATTTTCCACGGTTTGAATCTGCTTAAAAATCCTTCTAGCTTAGCTGAAAAGGATTTAGTCTTCATTGAAATATTGTACAATGCTTCAACACATTTTTAATTTTTTATTTTATAACAGCAACAAAAACTATTTTTAATCACTTCATTTTTTTTTTTTTGCCAATTTAATCACTTCATATTAACACAACATGATGTCATGTTTACAAGAAGCCAGCTTTCCGATAGCGTCCCCGCCCTCACCGATAAATCAAATTCCATCAAGACTGGCCGTATATCAACTGCCACATTATTATTATTAACCAGTGGAAAGTATGAGCCGTCCATCTAACCCAGAACAGAAAGTATAAGCCGTCCATAGTATTCTGCCACTAAATAACCGCCACGTGTCACCTGCCGTTTTCGGTCGGTGTTTTCTTTGTGGAAAGCGGCACTATGTGACTGGGCACGCACTTATATCGAACGCCGTCAACTATCACGGCGTGGATCTTGACGGCATTAAAAAATTAAACGCCGTTTCCTCCTTCTCCGCTCGTTATCTCTATTCAAATTTGCCCTGAGCCTCGCCGCTTCGGATTCATCTCGTTTTTCGTACCTATAAATATTGCACTCACCTTCACTTGAAACCCTACCTCAAATTTTTCCCTTGCTCACGCCCTCGCATTGAGGACATCGATACTTGAATTTAGCATTTCGGATCGCTAGCTTCGGGTTGGGCGACGACAATGGCGGAGGAAGCGGAGAGCACCGTTACTGGTCTTGGATCGGTTATGGAGAAAGTAGCTGAGAAGCTTAATGGTCACGATTCGTCGTCTTCCGATTCCGATTCTGAGAAGCCAGTTACTTCGTCAGTGAAGGACAAAGTATTTCGGCTTTTCGGGAGGGAGAGGCCGGTACATTCTGTTCTCGGCGGTGGAAAGCGTATGAACCTTCTGGCTCTCCCCCCTGCTTTCTCATCGATTTTAGTCTTGTCAGATCTGTGATGTAGGTTGTGGTCTTCAAAATTAATTAGCATAATCACTGTTTCGAATCGATGGAATGCTATGGAGTATGGATTGTACCACTGGATTTTCTTATAAATGGGGACTAGACAGTGACTTGTCTAGGCTGTCCGGGATACTGATTGACTTAACTTTGGATGATCTTTAAATGTAACGATAATTTTATATTTATATTCTATATTTTAGGGAATTTAGTGTTAGATCGGCAATCTATATTTCCCTTGTGTGATTTGGTATTATTTATTTTTGCTATTATGATGTGTTTTTCTAATACTCCCATGGTAATCACTAATTGCAGCTGCTGATGTGTTGCTGTGGAGGAACAAAAAAATATCTGCCAGTGTACTTGGCACAGCCACAGGCATTTGGGTGTTTTTCGAGTTGCTAGAGTATCACCTTCTCACTTTGGTCTGTCACATTCTGATACTGCTGCTTGCAGTTTTGTTCTTGTGGTCCAATGCCCATACCTTCATAAACAAGTAGGCCTCCAACTTTATGATCTATTGAATGAAGGTATAGCGGGGGCCTCATATTTATTTAACCTTTAACATTGCTCAATAAATCATATTGTAGAACTGCACCTCGCATCCCGGAAGTTCATCTACCTGAGGAACCATTCCTGCAAGTTGCAGCTGCTTTGAGAATTGAAATCAATAGGGGATTTGCTGTCTTGCGTAATATAGCTTCAGGAAGAGATCTGAAGAAGTTCCTTATTGTATGTGAATGTGATTTACCATCTCATTCCATCCTTGATGCAAAAATAATATAATTATGTCATTACTGAGCAATATAGATTTTGCATGTTACTAATTGATCCTAACTTATATTGTGCCCTGATTGTTCGGCTTGATTATGATTTTAATTGCTGCACTGCAATAAATTTTTAGTGCCTAACTTGGTGGGTGATGTTTAATCTTCAAAGAAATTCATGACATTGTCTCATCCTGAGGAATCTGATGTTGATGTTGTTAGGTTATTGCTGGTTTGTGGATCCTATCAATTGTAGGAACTTGGTGCAACTTCTTGACCTTGTTTTACATATGTAAGAACAATAACATTATTTGAAGCATTATGTTCATGTTATGGTATTTGATCGATCTGAAAATCCTCATTTGGTGCGCAGCCTTTGTTACATTGCACACTGTTCCTGTCCTGTATGACAAGTACCAGGATAAGATAGACCCGTTTGCTGAGAAGGCTACCGTTGAGATTAAAAAGCAGTATGCTGTGTTCGATGACAAGGTCTTGAGTAAGATCCCAAGGGGTCCGTTGAAAGGCAAGAAGTTAGAGTGATGAGATGAAATGGCAATGGTTTGAACTGTTAAGAACTTTGGCTCCAGATGTTTAATTTATTAGTTCCGTAGAGCCTTGTTTAATTTGCCTGCGGTTGTTAGCTTTTGGGTTGGGTTTGGAAGAGTATTGTGGTACCCCCGGCTTTGGCTTCAAGGCGTAGCTCCATATTTCGCTTTCATGCTATGGTTTTCGCTGGCTTCTCCAATGTTGGACTTCTTATATCTGATCTTTCAGTCATCAATTATATTAGCGAAAGCTTTAATATTTTTGTATGCTCGGGCATCATGCTCTTCTTGGTTTTATACTTGAGCATGAGTTTTTTTGTCAGGGAAAATATTTGGAGCTCCCTGATGTTTGAACAAAATGGGCTTTTAGCCATCTCACCTTTGATTCCATATTCTCACCTTTGATTATGGAATACGGCATCATGCTCTAGGTTTTGTACGTGAGCATGACTTTCTTGTCAGGGAAAATATTTGAAGCTCTCTGATGGCTTTTAGCCCTCTCACCTTTGATTACAGAATATCATTAGGCCATTTTTTTGTGTGCCATCCTTCACTGAGGAACTAATGCACCCATCACCTATGAGGGTCCCAACTTGCAACTTCACATTTGAAAAAAATTTGAAGCAGTGTTATTGAGCCAGAAAAGGATGGAGAGGGAAAATGACGGCATTGGTTGCTTCTAATGAAATGAGATTTTATTGGGGAACGGAGGCTTAACTTCTCGCTTACCATTTTCTATATCAAAATATAGATGATGAATTTTTTTTATTTTTAATGTAAAAGTTAATTAATTTGAGTAGATCAAAAAAAGTAAATAAGGTAGTTAATTTTGATAAATATGACATCATTTTCTTAAAATGTTCGTATTTTAACATTAGATTTTATTTTAGTAAAAGGGAAAATGATAAATAAAAAAAACTAAAAAAAATGATATTTTTAATCAGGCATTATATGCAGTGATAAGTTATTTCACAATAATAAGTGTTGAACAGTTAACAGTGATAAACATATGGACTAATGTTTTTTTCCCAAATACTACTTCCGGTTCTAATTATAAAAGCTTGTTGACTAATTTGAAGAGATTAAAGAAGTAAGTTGAGTTAGTTATTTGTCTTAAATAGGTGTTGTCTTTATTAAAATATCATTGCTAATTAAACGTATTGACTAGAATTATTATTGTTAGAAGGGCTACTTTGAAAAAAATATATAAATATGAGAGACAAAGTAGATGGGAGTCTTATATTTAGGATCAAAATAAAAGTCAAACAGGATCTTATATTAAGAACCGGAAGTAGTATGATACAAGAACATTTTAATCATTTAATTACATTTACAAAATATCAAATCAGACATTTTTTTTCCTGTTATTTTCAACTCTTAAGTTCCTAAATAAGAAATGATAATTTCAGGGCTCTTTTTATGAAACTTTTCCTTAGTAAAATTAGTTAGGAAAATAAAATAAATATAACAGGATAAAATGGGTAAAACATTTATATTTAGGATTAAATTAAATTCAACAGAAAGAGTAGTACTCATTTGAATATTACATTTCTCATACACAATGAAAACAAAGTACCAATTATTTTGGGAAATAAATAATAAAATGAAACTAATATATTCTCGCGCTTGCAGATAACTGAAATGGGTTGTTTATGAATCGAACAAAAGTTATAGGACAAGAAGAATTTTTGTTTTAAAGAGAGCTGCTCATGGCGTACGTTGGAGAAAAGAAGAGCTACCAAGAGACAAGGCAGAAATCAGATCACCTGACTTTTAGTTACCATTCATATGACATTGTTTTAGGCCGAAAACGCAATCCAGAGAAAGCCCTCAAGGCACGCCGATCAGTTTCATAAGCAATACAAGATTACTTTCAAAACTCATCAGCCACCTTCAACTATATAAGCCTCTCTTGCTGATAGAGCGATACATCCCCAGACCAAAAAAAAAAAAACCTTTAAATTTCAAACGAGAGAGATTAAATGGCAGGCACTTTAGGAACTCTGATGCCAATTTTCTTCTCAGTGGTGCTGCTTACCCTAGCAAGAGGATCAGAGGCTGGCGGGATTGCCATCTACTGGGGTCAAAACGGGAATGAGGGAACTCTAGCACAGACTTGTGCTTCAGGAAACTATGACTTTGTGAACATAGCTTTTCTCTACGCTTTTGGCAATGGCAGGATTCCCAAGATAGACCTTTCAGGCCATTGTGACGCATATAGCAATGCCTGCATGTCTCTAAGTGCTGACATAAAGTCTTGTCAAGCCAAGGGCATTAAGGTCATGCTCTCAATTGGTGGAGGTGCAGGGAGCTACTCACTTTCATCCTCAGAGGATGCTAGACAGGTTGCCATTTATCTTTGGAATAACTTTTTGGGGGGAAACTCACCTTCTCGTCCTCTTGGTGAAGCTGTCTTGGATGGAATTGACTTTGACATTGAACAAGGAACAAACCAGCATTGGGACGATCTTGCCAGATATCTCTCAGGTATGGCTAACAAACAGTTGGGTCTAAGTAAGGTCCAAACTAATTGGATTGACTGCGACTTATTTTCCTATTTACTGTTCATCTAAAAGATTTTCAATATTATTTCCTCTGTCATATGGAATTATGGATCACCGCAAGAGGAGAGAGAGGACATAAGTGAATAAAGAATGAAGCACGAGTCAGTGGTTAATCCAAAAATCCAAACTTTGAAAGAGTTTTATGACTGATCAGAATAATGCAGTATGATTAGGTAATAATAAAACTCAGATAATTATATAGTTTGCGTTATAATGGCATCTCTACTTTCAGGATACACCAGCAAAGGAAAGAAGGTTTACCTTACAGCAGCTCCACAGTGCCCTTTTCCTGATGCCTGGCTTGGAAATGCCGTTAAGACAGGCCTTTTTGACTATGTCTGGGTTCAGTTTTACAATAATCCTCCATGCCAGTACAGTTCTACAGATATTAACAATCTTGAAAATGCCTGGAAGCAACGGATTGCAGACATCCCGAGCACAAAAGTTTTCTTAGGGCTGCCTGCATCTCCCCAGGCGGCTGGAAGTGGTTTTATTCCTGTGACTGATCTTACCTCAAAGGTGCTCCCGGCTATCAAAACCGCTGCAAATTATGGAGGTGTCATGTTATGGTCCAAGTACTACGATGATCAAACTGGATATAGTTCCTCCGTAAAAAGTGATGTCTAGAGACTAGAATCTTACAACTGCATGCCCGTGCGTTTATAGTACGCATCAATCCTTTTGTATGTTCCTCCCTTATAGTTGTACATGAACATCACTCTTGAATATAATACCCCATTCTTCTAATGCATCTATGAGAATTGCTTTAAGAAATCAAAACATTTTCTTCGAAAGTCCAACTGCATCTGATGACAACGCTTAGCAAATCCATAGAATAAACGGAGTGTACAAAATATATACATGGCTGAAAATTTTGCTACTTACAACAGCCAATATAGATCCTTTACACACTTACTACTACATTGGAGCACAAATATACGACAGCTTTATATGTCTAGTTCAATACTTCAGCATAACATTCACAATTTACACCAAAATTTTGAAGAACTTCACCCATGCAAAGTTCTCTTTGAAGACAAAGATATTTTAAAGTAAGTTGGTCTTGGGGTTGAGGGGCATCCAATAGATTGGATTAATTGTTCCACGCCAAGCACTTTAAACTTTGGAGGTGAATTCACAGCAATGTTGTCAACCCGGTGTTCATAAATCTTGCCTTCTTTGTCAAGTTTATATTCAGAGGTTCCATCAAACCTTCCACGACTCTCCCATGGAACTCGAGGGATTCCATGAATGGTCCAGCGAACCATTATCGTGCTCTCAACAGGCTGCCACACGCTAATTATGTCAACCCACAAAGCCTTGAAAAAGATCCTGCCATGAAATCGTAATGCCCAGAAGATTGATTTGTAATTCTCAATGCCCATGAATGTATTGAGAGGATCTTTAAATACGATATCATCCCTGCAAAGTGGACATAATATTGCAATCATTGAGCAATAAATTTTAGACACAGGAACAAACCCACAGAACAACTCAATTCGACACTGGGTATATTCCGGTTTCCGATTTCCTATACTAGTATTTGATACATTCAAAGCACGCATACCAAAATTTTAGAATGAAAATCAATCAAGTCACTGATCCACAGATAACATTTAGTCAGTGACAATCTACAAATTGAAACTTAAATATTCTGTCCAGTGTTAATGTTGACACTAAAGGTTTAAAATTATCAACAACAGTAGGAGCTTCCAGATGCAAACGTCAGCGTTTTAACATCCAGCTTAGTCAATCCCTCCTAAGGCAGGATCATAATCAGTCATGTAAAACATAAGCACTACACTTTGCGCTGTTCGTGTCTTCTGTACTGTTTGCACCTTGCTGTACGTTTTATATGATATAATCAATACATGCAATCAGTGTCAAAGGCCATAATTTATGTTCAACTATAAAATTACAAATGATAAATTGGTGGAAAACAAAGATCATAACCAAAAAAAAAAAAAACCTATTATCCTCAAACACTCAACTACCCGGTGGTGGAAAATCACGAATTAATTATGCGAAGACTCAACAAACCTGTAGATATCGAAACTAAGCTCCCTATAAAAGAGCTCAGGGAACTCCTCCCTCAAAGTCCGGATCGCATAGCCCAGATTCAAATAGTAATTCTGCTTTTCTTCCTCCTCTTTGCTCGGCCTCGATTCTAGCTTTACCGGGGCTGAAAAAAGACCGTACGGCTTCACTCTCACATGCTGATTCAAATGCGACACCCCAAACTCTTTCACCCTACAAGAAACTCTTATCCCACAATTAGGCCCAGTTACAGTACCGTCTGTGAAGGATTTACCGCTCTGAAGCTTCCTAAAGCTAGGGCTGTGATCGGAGAAAACTTTGGGGTTTACGAGCGCCACCGGTGAATGGATAAGAAGAGCCATTAGAAGCTCAGATTTTCCCACATAAACAATGAAATTAGAGGGAAATTAGGGAAGACGATGTCATTTTCCCGGAAATGAAATCTTATCTGGAAACACCCTTTTGGCAAACGATAACGCTGAATGAAAGAAACCGGGTGCGGCTTTCTGCGTTCTAGCTTAGGTCTCGTCAACTTATCTGTTTTTACATTATTAAAGATAAAAATATTAAAATATGAGAACCCAACATTCCAAATGAAATGGTGCACCCATTGACCCCTATTGCTGACTAGGGAGTCTTTAATCTTGCCTCCCCTCCACATCCTAATTACGTTGTTATGCAGGATTAGCCCACCAATATGTTCTTCTAAATTGTGTATTCAATTATATTTATGAAGTTTGTATTCCTTAATTATTACTCTGACTTGTTGCTTCCTAATCAAGTATTCCCTTAATTTTACACAAATATGAAGCATAAGATATTATCATCTAGAAGAGTGTTTGGGTATTTCTTCAAATTTGAAGAGAAAACCAAGTTTTAAGAAAAAAGCATCCAAACACCTTATCATTCTTTGAAATCATGGTTTTATCATGAAATCATGGTTTCCTCTATCAAAATCATGGTTTCACTGAAAGTGAAATTTTTTTCCTTTTTATCGCTGCATGAGTAAAAGTGTCAGATGCCTTCACCTTTCTCCTTCTTTCTCCTCCCTCATTCTCTTATTTTTTTGAGCAGCTCTTCTCCTTCGTTCCAAACTTTAATTTTTCTAAAAAATGTTCATTTTCCTAAAAACACATTTAATCTTATATTTGATAAATATACATACACATATTAACAATTAATTAATGATATTTTTATATATATTATTTATTACGTTGGTAAAAAAATTATTGACAAATTTATTATTCTGATTCTTAATATAGAACATAATTACAGAGTTAATGTTAGTCCTAAATATAACATTTATTTTATATGATTATTAATTTTGAGTCAAAATAATATTTTTCTGTTGGCCAAAAAAATAATCATTTTTTAAAAACATATTTAACCTTATATTTTATAAATATATATACACATATTAATTATTTATTAATTATGTTTTTTATATATTATTTATCTTGTTGGTAAAAAATATATTATTAACAAATTTATTACAAAATATATCTTTTATATAATTATCATATTAACTTGTGTTCTCTTTAATAATTTGTACATATAAAAAGTATTTCTGATAACAACTATCCAAATACTCTCACTTTATCGAAATAACTTTTTTACAAAATTTATTCTCCTAAAAATCTATTTTTCAGAAGCTATTTTCTAAACCATGATTTAGTTTTATCTAAAGATGCCTGATATTAAAATTTGCCTCAACGTGTCAAGATTATTGAACAATTAACTATATGTATAGGCTCTTTTTAATTATAAGATTGCATCATTAAGTTTTATTTAATTAGATATTATCAAACGTTGATTGATAAATAAAACTTCATGTAGGGCTTTGAATATCACAAATACGATGCTTACATTTTTTTTTACAAGAATTTAACTATATAAAATCATCAAATCAGGACAATAATTTAACTTAAAATATGTAAGCAAACAAATTGGTAAAATGTTGGAAAGAGAGTGAGGGTCGAGGGATTTTTTTTGGCATTGGAATAAAGACAGTGATGAAATTAAAAACGAAAAGCAGAAAAAAAGAAGAAGCAAAAACAAAAAGGGGACAAGAGACAAAGCAGAGGGAATAGATTCTAAGTGATGAGTGGGTTCTAAGAATCTTGAATCTTCCAAATCTCGTCGTTTCCGCGAACAGCGCTGCCAGGCCTCGGGGTTAACATTATTTTCCAAAGTAAAAAGAAGCTTGATTAATAAACGGAAAATCCAAAAAAAAAAAATAATGAACGTATTTCATTTTTAATTACTGCAAAATAAATATTTCAATGCAAGTATTAATATTTAATAAAGATTTGGCTCAGAGGGTAGAGATATGGATCACCGCCAAATGCTAAGCAGATGCTGTAAGTTTTGTTTAGAGGTAGTTATATTAAGTACTCATAAACACGGTAATATTAATTGAGACAAAATTTTATTAATATGCTTGTTTCATATTCTATAAATTATAATTAATTTTTTTAAAATATCCTAGTAAAATTTTCACGAAGTGCTAACAATAAGTTAAGTTTAAAACTTCATATGTTATATGTTATCCAAATATATGTATATATATTGATTTTTTTAATCCTTGATCTAATGTAAAAAACTCGCCTATCCGTCAAAGTTAAGTATAAAACTTCATACTTAAAAAATAGGTACTTAGGGCAATTGAACCAAGATACATTCTCACATTCTTCAATTATTTTTTTGACCAGCTCATACTCTTCAATTAAATTGTACAATTTCCCATTCAAAATATGTACATTGGATAAGAGACTCGTATGAGTTTTAAATATAAGATCATAGGACATACAATAAATATAAGATCATAATCTCCTTTCTTTTATAAATTTATAATTTTTCATAAAATATTTTTATTAATTACACAGTGCCAAAGAGTTTCTATGGGTAGATAATTACAACACATATGATCACAAATAGTATTTTAAATAAATCAACTTATATTTATTACGAATAATTAATTTAACTAATTATTTTAACATCAACAAATCTTTTAATCTAATTTTATATTAAGCACCGTTGAGAGTATTAAGTATATGATTTTCATGTTTACACGTATAACTTTTGTAATTTAAAATCATGTAATTGTATCAATAAAAATTGAGTTTAACAAAAATGGTTAATTCATCACAATATGGTGAATTGAGATTTGAATTCTCATAAAGATGTATTCATATTTAGTATCTCATATTGTCTTAAATAAAATTGTTTTCGACAAGAGTATACTTGTACTTGGAAAAAAAAATCATGTAATTGTTTTTTTTTTCCTGATATATTAATTATTAAAGGTATATTGCAAATAGTAGGACGGGGAATTAAAATTTTTATATTTTGATGTTTGTTATACTATACACACCATTTTAAGTCTACATCTATATAACAGTGTAGAACTATTTACACAATTCAAGAAAGAAAAATCAAATCCGAAAATCAAATCACTATCACTATGTTGAACAAGAAAGAAAAGAATACAATAGCCCACCGACTGCGCGAAAAGTTCCATCAACGAACGCGTACCTCAGAAAATAAAACAGAGAGAGGCATGCTGTCATTTTCGCTTCTCTTGGAGGTTTGCTTCTCCCTTACTCACACACTCCCATTGTTTGCTTGCTTACCCCTCCCACCAAAATCTCACCCACTCCAATTCCCTCTCGTTACTATATTAAGGGTTACCTTGCTGACGAAATTTCATGGTTTTTGGTTTCACAATTTCAATGCTCTGTTTGTAATTCGGTTAGTTGAAGTTTGTTGGATTAGCCATGGAATTGGAGCTCCCGAGGTCCGTCAACTCGGCCGTGACCTTCGACGAGGTTTCCATGGAGCGTAGCAAGGGCTTCGTCAAGGCATTGCAGGTGATCTTCTAGATTCTCTCACTTTCTCCCGTGTTTTTTCGTCTACGATGCCTAGACTAGATCTTCATTCTTTTGAATTTTGTTGTGTCTTCCATTGATTTTTTTTTTTAATCTTTTACTTTGTAAGATTGTTTTACTCTGGGTTGATTTTTAATGTCTGTCCTGGTTTGATGATGGACGGGAATCTGGGGAATAAGTTAGAGCTAATTTTGTCCTGGTTTTGAGTTTTCCTTTGAGAAGATGGATTCTTCTCATGTCCGTTTAACTCTTACTTCTTTCCTTTGGATGGGGATTGGGGCTGGTGGGTAAATATAATTATTCTATGCAACCTGACGCTGTAAGTTCGTCTAAGCTATATTGATTGAATTATTCCATTGAAAGCACGTTATATTTGTAATTTCAAATCAAATTGAATTGGGCGGATGTCTTGTTAGCCTTGTCATATTGCTGGTATATTGGTAAATGGTATTGGTTGCCTCTTCCTATTGAACTCTCTGATCAATTTCCAAAGGCTCTAAATCATTGTGCATTAAGTCCTCATTGTTAAGGGTTTGGTTAATGTAGCCATAAATTGTCTCATGCTGTTCCTTTTGAGTATTTTCTCTTTGATTGTTAAAGGGTTAGTTATTTAATTCCCATATGATGGCCATTCCAGGAACTAAAGAATCTGAGGCCTCAACTTTATTCTGCTGCGGAATACTGTGAGAAGTCCTATCTCCACAGTGAACAGAAACAAATGTAAGAAACAAAATACTTCTTATGTTGATGATACTTTTTATTCAAGTTGTTTTGGAAGGCAATTTTACCCCTATAAGGTTCTCTGTCACTATTGAAGCACTTCCGACAGGATAAATAACGAATGACTTCATCGTACTTTTCTAGTTTCTTCTACTCAACGATATCATTGTTATTAAATTTTTTATTTTACAATTTGCATTGGGTTCTCAATAAATGCATGCTGCATATAGCAAGTGCGAAATGCAAATTATTGGCAATTTGAGGATTGGGCCACCGGTCAAATGTTATGAGTATTCCACCTTGTGTGACTGGATTTTTTATTTCCTCATTGTTTGTATAGTTGATTGCGTTGGATGACTCAGGTCCGGAATTTTCATCCTTTCTATAGTATTGGCTTTGATGTATTACATGCTGAAAGTTTTACTTGATTTATTCATAGAGTGTATGTTTGTGTCTCAATTGTCACAGTTATTTTTCTTCTATGAATCTTATTTATTGATCAGGGTACTAGACAATCTGAAAGATTATGCTGTACGAGCCCTTGTTAATGCTGTTGATCATCTTGGAACAGTCGCATACAAATTAACTGATCTTGTTGAACAGCAGACTTCGGATGTCTCAACCATTGACTTGAAGGTATCAACCCTAAATCAGGTAATTCCTATTTTGTTGGAGATGGCATGTTTACATAGATAACTTTCAATGGGAGTTGAGGTTAACTTATTTCTTTACTAGCAGCAACTTCTTACATGCCAAATCTACACTGATCAAGAGGGTCTTCGGCAGCAGCAGTTGTTAGCTTTCATTCCCAGGCATCACAAGCACTACATCCTGCCAAGTAGGTTTAACTGATTTCATGTTCATCTAGAAGTAATTATTGGTGCTGTCTATCTGTATTTTTGATTTTAATCATGAATGCGTGTGTGTTTCTGTCTAACAATGCAAGCTAGACTCTTTCAATAAAAAGGTGCATTTCAGTCCACACATACAAGTTAATGCAAGGAAAAATCCGTTACAAACTAGAGCTCGCACTCGATCTTCAGGTTTGTGGTCGGGGAAATTTTATTCCATCAGAAGTTTTTGGCATTGGTTTTGAAGTATGCTCCTATTTTTTAAGTTGGGCCATTTGCCATTAAGCATGTATAACATTGTCTCATTCAAATATATGTTGTAGGAGTCCCTCCAGCGAAAACTCTTTCATGGCATTTAGCTTCTGAAACTAATTCTACCTTGAAAGGGAGTTCACGTTCTTCAAAGAGGCAAGTTTGGAAATATTGAAAAGAAGTAGTTTGAGCCTTTACATGGCTGTTTCTTCTATTATGATCTCTAACTGAAGATAGCACACTATGAAATTTTGTTTAGTGTTTTAACACATCTTTTCTGCAGAGGGGACCCAAAGTTCTCTGCCAAAACATCGGGAGTTTTCCAACTTTTAGGTACACCGAACAACTGTATACCTTGTATAATTCAGTTTGATTGGCCCCAAAAAAGGCCATTTCTTCTTCCCGACATGTTGGCTCCTTACAATTTGCGGTGAAACATGCCTGTAGATAACGAAGAGAGTAATTTGAAAAAATCCATAGCAGCTCAAAGTCACTTAGCTAACGGAGTTCCTACTTCCAGTCCATCTCAGCAAACTTTGGGTGTCACACGCAAGGTAATGTCATGTTCACCAGGAACTGCAAATGCCTGGTGACAAAAAGCTTGATTGTCAACTTGTGATTAGTATTTTCTAATTCATTCCTAGTTGTTTGCATGTGTTTTGAAAACTGTTGATCCTTGTAGCAATTTTGCTCGGCAAAAGGACAGATGGTTTTAATTATTCTTAAATCTTAACAAATGGTTGATATTTTGCATGAACATGGGTCCAAGAGAGAGTTGAAGGATGGATATTTTTATGTTCCTTTACTTTTGTGAGGAACATTTGCTATGTGGAGGTCAATGGTGGGTTCTATTTGCAGGATGCATTGGAGGGTTTGAAACCTTTGACGACATTCAAGTCATTTGGCCACCAAAATCGGCGTGAGATTGTCCAGACCCATACTCGAAGCAAAAGCATGCTTTCAGCGTTCTTTGTCAGGCAGAAGATTCTAAAACCGAACGCTGGTTCTGTCTCATGAATGAAGGCACGGCACTGGTGCCCCACCGCAAGCTACTGCATGAAGTAGGAGATTTCACTTATTTTATTTGACGTAGTATTGGTGGAGATTGCACTTTAATCTCCTCCAATGCTTATTCGCTGTGGTTTGGCCATATTTCCATAAATGCTTTGGAATGAATCCCATCATAGTTCAAGCCTTTGAATAATGACCAACCTTGTAGAGTGACCGGTAATGTGTTAGGGATTTTATTCTCCCAGTCTTGTTGGTCAGTGATGTCATAATTTACTGAGGAGATTACACAATGTGTATGTGATAGTGTTCAGGCATTTGTGAAATGTATAGATCCGGTTTTGATATTGATACTTCAAAGAATGGTCCAGTGACTGATTTAATAAGTCTGGAATTTCCCAAATTAGAATTGCCGACACTTGTTGATTTTATCTAAAGACGTCAATACGCGTCAAGATAATCCCGTGAGCAAGTCCGTCATGATAATGTTTATTTTTGACATATTTATTGCTTATTTATATTGGTCTTAGTTATTTTTAATAATTTAAGTCTCTCAAAATATATTAACACGGCTGGCCCTTTTATTGTGATTTGTCAGCGTGTGACAGACGAAATATTAAAATATAATTTGAGCAATTCAGAAGACAACTCAGCTAATGAATAAGTAATTCATATTATTATTAATTATTGGTTTAGTCTTATATTTTCTTTCAAACAAGGTGTACGTAATTTTTAATCATAGAATGTTGGTTTAACAACGAAAGATGACCAAACTACGCTTTATTATATGTTACTGGCACAATAAATTTAAGAGGAAAAATGTAATATATGAAAAAGGGAATATAAAAAGAAGCCACCATTAGGCAGTATCAAATGAAAAAATACATTAAATTTCAAATATATATTATTAATATTACCTTTTTTTGGGACAATTAGAGTGCTTGATTTACTGCAGTAAGAATGTTTTAATAAAAATTTAAAATTAAATTCAAATATGTATATTTCTGTCCAAAAAAAAGTTTAAATATGTATTTTAAAATAAAAATGTTGATTTGGTTCTAAAATTTTTTAATAGATCTGTAATTATGATTTTATATAATAAAAGCAAAATCGTATGATTTTATCTGAACACTTGATTTAAAATAAGATATTTATTGTATTTACCGCCAATAATATACTAGTTTTAACAGCATGTGTGAAATTAAAAATATGCCAACGAAAACACTGGACTAGGTGCATTGAATGGGGGATCTCTTAACGTAACAAGTCACAAAATGGTATTTACAAAAACATTTTTTGGCCCAAAAATCGTTTTTCTGCCATAATAATCCCACTTATTTTCATAATTCTTCTAATCAACTTGCTAATCACGCATTTTAGTGATTAGTCGCTGTTCAGCTTGACGCCTGTGTACTATTTTCAGCCAACGAAAAAAACGGAGGATATAGTTTCAACTAGATTTCGCAGCTCACAGCACACCGGTCCGAAGCCTTCGTCTTGTTCGTTGTTCCCATCTCTTTGCAGTCCCGAAATCTTCTTATCGAGCAAAATCATTGACTCCTGTCCAATGTGACAAATCTTGACAGTAAAACAACTCGACTTCAAATCTTTCTCTTGTCTAATCTTTCTGACCAACATTTTTTCACCCCAATCACAACCTTTCTTGACCATTTCACGAATTCGAATCGCGACCTGTCTTCTTCCTCTCGTTCTTTTTATTACTCCCAGAAGCTGTGTGTTTGGACCCCATTGAAATGTTCACATCTGGGGTTTTCCTTGGAAGTATGTAGTTTCGTCGATTAGGAAGTTGAATTTGCTGCCAATTAATTGATGGGATTCTGAATGGGTTCACTGGAATCCGGAATCCCACTGAAGAAGGGAAGCTTATTTGGGTCTCAGTCAAGTAGAAAGGAGAGGCATCCATTCTCACAGAGATTTAGATCGAGCTTTTCGCGTTTGCTTTTCAAGAAACTAGATTATGTCCAATGGATTTGCACTGTGGTCGTCTTTCTATTCTTCATAGTTGTCTTCCAAATGTTCCTACCTAGTTCGGTAATTGAAAAATCAGAGGATTCCTTGAGAGCTAAGATGCTATCTGGGACCCTATTGCATTATGAAGATATAGAGAAGTATGTATTGGACATTGAGGAGGGCACAAGATTTCTGCCCAAGATTTCGGAGAAATTCAATAGGGAGGTGAATCTGTTTAACCGGACCGTACCACATTTCGGGTATAGAAAGCCTCAGCTGGCGCTGGTTAGTTCTCGTAATGGCCATTTTCTTGCTCTTCAGGGAGCTAATTTCTTTTTCCTTTTCATAGTGATACTACCTAAAGCCCTTCTTTTATTTAGCATTATGAGTTCATGTTCATTGCGGCTCAAAGCTCATCAGTTGTCAAACATAAACTTGTGAATTTAATAAAATGGGCGAGGCTTGCAGAAATTCAGGGCTTTGGAGTTAAAATGAACTCCAGCAATTAATTAGCCTTGAAAGAGATACAAATTGTTTTTTTTGGATACGGAGATACGGGTTTTTTATACTCACCGACTACAAATTTTATTTCATTTTTCTCTTGGAAAGTTAAATTTATATGATTTCAATTTTTTCCCCCCCTGAAGATATCTGGAGAACTATTGGTCGATTCACAACAACTGCTGCTGGTAACTATTGCATCTGTTTTGCTAGAGATTGGCTATACAATTCAGGTGATGCACTTATAATTTGTTCTCCATCATTTTCTTTGAGAAGTAATTTGAACATCGGTAGACGGAAATAGGTGGGGGTGTGGGGACGTCCCTAAATAGTTACTGATTCGAGTGTCTTTGATAGTTGCTCTGTAATGGGATTGAAGGGCTTCGACTACAGTATTTTATCTGGAAGAGGAACTAAGTATAATTAGATGTTGTCACTTGCATGTATGCTCGCTTGGCTAGTACAGAACGCCTCACTTGATTAGTAAGGTCTGAGGTGCTCACTCTTGTAGAAGCAAGTCTGCCATGCATAGATTGTCACTTTTGTTTTAAAATTTCCACCTCTTGTCTGAGAATGGTCCTTGACTTGACAGGCCACTAAGTGTCTAGGATTTATGCCAATCATAAGTGACATAACTATGGTTGTTCTGTCTTGTGAAATTGTGCTGAATGATCACTAGTTGTCAGAGATAGAAGTGCATTATACCTTATTGTTTACCCTGGCTTGAGGCATTCCATTGTCAAATTTTCCCCCATTCATTAACTATGATCGCCACGAATTGAATTATAATCAAATTGCTTTGAGTCATTTACCAGTGTCAGTGATTGATGACTGTAGAATCTGAACAATTCAATTCAAATGGAGTATTCGTTTTTTTCTTGCATAAATAATGATATATTTTATGTCAAAAAAAATTGATATTTTATACATATATTATATTATACACGTCATCAATTCATCATTACTTAAAAATAAGTGGACTCTGTTTATTATGCTTCACTCAAGCTCATGAAAGACACATCCCATTTACCAAATTACCTTTTCTATCTTTATTTTTCTGTTCCATTCTTTTCCGCATATCAAATGGCCTCTAAATGAAAATTATTGGAGCTGAATATGGTGTTTTTAGGCTGATTTGGTTGTTATTGTTTTGGGCTCAAGTGATTGCTTTGTTTTGCAGGTTTTTTCACTTGAAGATGGTCCAGTGCATGATGTTTGGATAAATTTAGGAGTTCCCGTCACTGTCATTAGAACTTGTGGCAAACTGGAGAATACTGTTGACTGGCTAAGGTATTCTTGATGTAAAATATTTAACTTCTGGACTAAGCATGTTCGAAATTTTGAATACTTTTTGAGACTTGATTAATCTTCTGCATTCCCTTATTTCTCTTTTTCTAAAGTCATTTTCCTTTTGTTTTTTTGGGTATTGAAGTATAATGTATATGGCATTCCACATCCAATTCATGTGATTCACCTTGGGCAGTTTCTCATTGTGTTACTGATAGAGTGAAGTATTTTGGATTGTTTCATTTTGGGCTGGTTTCTCAATTAGTTCCTGATAGAGGAAAGTACAGTATCTTGGTTGAAATTATCAAATAATAATTGCATCTAATAGTAATGTGTCTTTTGCAGCTATGACGGTGTGATTGTGAACTCTCTTGAAGCCAAGGGTGCTTTTTCTTGGTAAAGTCTACTTATCTCATTTCATTTCTTAAAGGAAAGTATTCTGACCGGTCACTTGATTCTCTGCTCCTCATTGGTCTTATGATATACAGAGATTGAAATGTGATCCGGAAGCTATCAGACGTGTTGGTTTCATAGTAATGACATTAGAGACTTATTTGTGGTTGACTAACCATTTAAGATGTCATTCCAGAATTTGTATTTCTTTTATCTTCTAACAATTAAACTTCCATACCATGTTGATGTAAATTTGTCTGTTTGCCTCAAAATTGTGAACTTTTACTAGTAACTCTGGTCCTGCATTCTAACTGGTTGTTAGACTAATTTGGAGTTCAAACTGCATGACATAAGTTTGGAGTCCAAATTGTCTGGCATACACATCAGATGATTTCTGTTTTGTTGCACACGTTCTATCATGATTGATTTAATGAAAAATATCAAGAAATAGTTCAATTTTCTAATTTGTTTGAACTATTGTCTATTTTGCATACCTATTTGGAAAATTTTGTTAATATGATTAATTTATGTGACATGGATGGGAAGCGTCAAGAGATGGCTGAAGTTATTTGTTTTAAAAGTTATGAAAATCTTATGATGTATTAATGAATATGCACTCACTTTGTCCTGTACGTTCTTTGAGATTTCAATGTCCTATACAAGTTACATCAATAACTCTAGTTGTCACAGTTTTTTGCAGGAACCTTTCAAGTCTATACCTCTTGTATGGATTATTCATGAAAATGCTCTAGCACATCGCGCAAGAAAATATACCATAAATGGGCAGGGTGAACTTTTGAATGACTGGAGTAGAGCCTTCAACCGATCGACAGTTGTTGTTTTCCCAAACTATGCCCTACCGGTAATATACATGTGCAAGTTATATGTTCATCTAATTTTTCCCCAAACCTTAACCCACCTGACTGCCCAAATGGGGGACAAGTTTTCATTAAAACTACAACCTGTTTTCCCCTTTTATTAATTCCTTCTCTACCAGTAAAGAACAAGTATGAATCAATAGTTAAGTATAATTTTAATACCGGGTACCATTGTCCTTTGGATTTGTTTTCTATGGCACAGAAGTCCTAGTTATTAATTCTTGTTTGAAAGATCCTATGTATTAACTAGAATTGTGGAGCATAACCTAGTCATTGGCGATTGATATTTCTTTCGTAATTCCACAGATGCTTTACTCCATATTTGATGCTGGAAATTTTTTTGTCATTCCGGGTTCTCCTGTCGAGGCAATAG